TGTTGTGCGAGTGTGTCTCTGTTGTGTACTAACCCTGCTCTTTTCCCTCTCTGCCAGTACACCTCTAAGTTACTGTCTTGCAAGGTGACTTCCGAGGTACTTTTCCACTTGTTTGTCTTGGTGTTCCTGCATGCCTGACCCAGGTGCATGCTCTTGTGGTTTGCCATTTCCTGATGTGTTCAAGGAGACGGGCACGGAAGCAGCTCGTCTCTGTGTTTCTTTCTTCCAGCCTTTTCGGAACTGGGGACTGCCTGGAAATGTTGGGGTACATGCGACAGGGCTCCCCGCTGCTGTGCTTTGCTGTGCTGTGTGGTGGGGCTGGAGAAGACCTTGCCCTGCTCATGGATCTGGAAGGTGTTTGCATTCAAGGGCACGGACTTTAGTTTCTTCAGGCACTGATAGCAAAGATAGCTCTGGTCTGGTTAGAAAACAGTGCAACTCAAGAGGCCTGAGCTGTTGATCCAGTTCTTTGTTTCCCATAACACAAATCCAGATAGCTCCACTCCGTAGCCTCAGGATCTTCAGGATAAGTTGTTCCAAAAGTGAACCATCCCACTGCCCACTCCCCTCCCCGCTCCCATCTTTAAACCTGGTTTTTGTTTGTTTGTTTTTGGAAGCTCCTTAATTTAAGCATTGAATTTCCAAGTCTCCTCCTTTCTTCTACAATTTCCTTTTACACAGATTTCACAATTATCTGTGCTATGAAAAGTCACAGTATTTTTCATTTTCCCCTAATTTTTAAATATTTTTCCCTTTTTTTGCTATGGGAAAACACAATGTTTTTGTATTTTTTCTTTAGAATTTTATTATTTTTAAAAGAATTATTTCAAATATACAGAACTGTAAGGAGAATCATGCATTCATTCTCTCAGTTAACAATTTATTGAGGACCTGGTACATGCCAGGCACTCTTCGAGGTTGCAGAAATAGAGCAGTCGACAAAACAAAGTCCTCAATGTCATGGAGTTGGCATTCAAATGTTCTAATAATAAGAGATAATAAAACAATAAAGCCCACCCATCCAGCTTTGACCATTCTTATCATTTTATAATATTTGCTTAATATTTTAAATTATTAATATTAATAACAGATGTTAATTAATATCAATAATATTAATTTTGCAAATACCGTTCAAGCCCCCTTGTTACTTCTCCCTAATCCCCATTTCTCTCTCTCCTGAGAGGTAACTTTTCTTAAGTTTGCTGTTAATCATTTCTCTGCATGTTTTTATGTTTATATTTCATATGTTTGTCTACATGGATAACATCTTGGTTTTGCATGCCTTAAAACTTTCTAGAAACGATATCACATTGTAACATCCTTTGCTCCTTACTTTATTCTATCTACATTGTTTTTAGATGCGTCCAAGTTGTTACTGACAGCTGTAGCTCATTCATTATAGCTTCTTTATGGTATCCCACTGAATGAATATATCACTGTTTATTCATTCTCCTATTGATGGAAATATTGGTTGTTTCTTTCTTTGTTTCCTTATTTTTTGCAATTACAAACAATGTTTCAGTGAATGTTACAGGTTTCTGTTTGTGTAAGCTCTGGAAGAATTTCTCTCTATATAGCTAGGAGGGGAAGTACTGGTTAGAGGGCTTTTACATCCTTACATTCATTACATATTGCAAATTATTCTTCAGAATGGTTGTGCTAACTTATAGCAAATGTGTTTTTAAAATCTCCCTATCTTGCAAAATAATTAGTACCAGAGATGGGAGCTGATGATTATCAGTACTTTTCTCTCAAAAGATACGAGTATTCTTTCATAAGATATAAAATGAGTAATGAAATATAAGAGATATATCATCCCATGCATCCTCCTCAGTGGCTAATTGCGGTTCTCATCTAGGCAATGGCAGTGGAAGAATTAGGCCCTAGGCCCCATCCCCTTTGAGTTAACGTAATTAAGAATAATGAAAATCTGGTCAAATACGTTCAAGGAAGATAAAACTGGGCCCAGTCTATCTTCAATTGAAGAGGACTTAGGAAGACAAAATATTAATGTAAATGGAGTGACTGACATTATTTAACCCTTCTGCCTTTTGTTACTCATACTCCATATACAATTGTCTGTTGATTTCTACACAGAGATGAGTGATTTGCTGGAATTCCCCAAGCTTGAGAGAGAGAAAATTAATGTCAGCGGGTTGCTCAAAGAGAATTGATTTTTTCCCTCTCACCAGACCTAAATCTGAATTTGTGAAAATGATAAAACTTTAAATCAGATTTTTCAATTATTATTTTTAATTTTTTTTTTTTTTATGTTTTCCCCTCTCCATTCCTATAGAGAGTATTATTGCTCTTTCTGTTGCTTCTTCCAAAAGACTCCTGATGGGCACTGAGTCACAATGTAGCACAGTGGCCTAGGGCATCAGCTCCACACCCAGAATTCTGGGTGTGAACCTCAGTTCTTCCCCCAGCTGAGTAACATTGGTCAACTTAACCTCCCCATGCTTCAGTTTCTTCCTATGGGAAATGCGAGTAATAATAGTATGTATCCCGTAGAACAGTCTTGAGGATCAAAACAGTAAGGGGTTCACAGTGTGTGTGATGTGTTTATTATTCTATTACTAGAGCTCCAGAGGCAAGTGCTTTTTTTTGCCCAAAAAAGAAAGGAATGAACTTTAGGAAATGAAGTTAATATGCAGGAACTAAAGTATCAGAGCTCTAGATTTGCTTGAGATTTTATAGACACACACACACACACACACACACTACAATACTGTACTCTGAATTAATTATGGAGTAAATGCTCATTTAGATACCTTCTCCAAGAGCTTAGCCTTTGAATCTTCAAAAGGCCATTGTAGGATGTCTTCACCCCTGAGCCAGTGCTAGACGAGAAGCCTTGTATTACCCAGAGACAACACAATGTAGTTGTCTGAACACTTCATTGTTTACAAAGCCCCTTCAAATAATGATAGAAATAATTATTGGTTGAAAACTCACAGAGCACTGGGAACTATGCCGTATGGATATTGCCTTATTTATTCCCCGGGCCAGCTCTGTACTATAGCTTTTATGATTCCCATTTCACACCTAAGAGAACTGAGGCCCAGGGGTAAGTGGCTTTTCTAAGGTCACACAGTCACTAGGATTTAAATCTAGACTTGCCTGGACTTCAGAGCCAGCGCTGTCTCCAGAGAAAGCCTTCGACCCAAGGCAGGTGCTGTCTCCATCTTGCAGATGAAGAAAGTTGAGAGATGAGATGCCACGAACAACACCATGTCCCAGACGGAACTGGAAAGAAAGTCAGGACTTCTGGATCTAGTCCAGTACCCTGTCTCAGTACCCTGTTACCACGCACTGACCTTCTAGATGAATCCTCTACTTAACTATACCAGACTTAGTAGCATTCTTTGCCCCTACTGGTCTCTTATTCTTAGATATTGAATAAGTGACCATGGTATGCTTACACACAAGACACTATGATATGGCTTATGTGCTTAACGATGAACATTCATTTAGGAGACATGGCTGAGTGCATCCTACATGTTAGGTCCAGCTGTCCCAGCTGGGGGGACTGGGGAAGGCTTCCCAGAGGAAAGCACATGGGAGGTCTGGGAAGTCCATCCATTTGTCAGAGGTCCAAAGAAGCAGGTTGAGATGGACCTCCAGACCATGAATCTAGACCCAGAACTTGCTTGTGCCTTGTTTCCCAATACTGCCTGCAACCTGCACCTCCTTGCTTCTCTGGAGTTGCCCGCATCTTCATCCCTTGCCAAAATGATTATTCTTAGAATAAGCAAAGCCTTCACTGCAGTTTGGATCGTCAACCAGTGTTGGCTCTGCTAGATTTTTCTTTAATATCAGAACCTGCACGTCCTAAGCTAATGCCACCATAATTTAATTTATTGGCATGCATGGGCTTGCTTGTGGTGCCGTGTCATGAAATTGAGCCACTTCTCATATGTTGGCAACCTGAATGTCATCCATCTGGATCTCATCTCAATCAAACCAAAGCTGGAGCAGCCTGGCTGAAGTTTCCCTCTGGAGTCCACAGACTATTCTAGTGAACTGGAGCGAGGGAGGCCTTACCCCGACGGTGGTGAGCCTACCTGTCCTGGATTTTGTCACCTTGCATTTCATTTATTAGCACCTGTGCCCTGATGTTGCATCGTCATGCTCAGATTGCTTTTTATTGGCCTGGGAAGCTATTTTTCTTTCCACTTAGTTTCTCTTGGAAGGTTAGTTATACCAAAGTAGACTTTTATGATATAAATATGATCATAGCTTATGTATGTCCACAAAGCTTGATGGGTTGAATTCACACTGGTCCAATTGTTTGGGATTATTTTCTGGTCTGCTTGTTTACAAAAAGACTAAGACAACTGATACCTGTGCTGTCCAATATGGTAGTCACAAGGTCCGTGAGGATATTAAAATTAATGAAAATTAAATATTTAGTTTCTCAGCCACAGTAGCCTTATTCCAGGTGCTCCATAGCCATGTAGCTTAGTGGCTACCATATTGATGACACAGATACAGAACATTTCCATCAGACAGCACTGATCAGATAACATGTAGAGACCTACTGTGTTATCAAAACAATGCAGAGTCAAGTCTAGTTCAAAAACATGTGCAAACTTGTGATGAGCACTGGGTGTTATATGTAAGTGATGAGTCACTAAATTCTGCTCCTGAAACCAGTATGACACTATATGTTAAGTCACTAGAATTTAAATAAAAATGGAAGATAGAAAAGACATGGAGAACACGTCAGGGAAATTAAATCTTTCTATATTGAAAACTATGGGTCAAAGAGCAAATGAAATTTGGCTATGAAATGAATGCATATCCAGAACCCTACTTTATTTACCACATCTCTTCTACCTCCCGGCCATACCAGACACTATTACTTTCCCTTTCTTGGATGCTGTTGAGAGGGAAAGGACCAAAAAAAAAAAAAAAAACACAAAACGGAAAAGCTGGTTTGTTTATATAGTGAACATCCATGAACTTTGATTCATTTTTTTCCTTCTTCTCTTTAGGTCCTTGAGGCCACACGGGTTAATCGAAGAAAGAGCGCCCTGGCCTTGCGCTGGGAGGCAGGGATCTATGCCAACCAGGAGGAAGAAGACAATGAATAACAAACTTCCTTCCACCCAGGAAGCTTCTTTGGTGCTTGGGTTACCAAGAAACCAAGAAATCCACACATTGAAGCATTTTAATGGAATATTTATTAAAGTGCGAACAAACTTGGGAATCCTTATGTAGACCAGAAGCTGCAATGACCAACGATGAAAAATCAAGTAAAAAGAACCCACCCATCAAACTCTATAAACACCCAGGAGTCAAAAGAGAAAGGATTTTTTTTTTTTTGAGACTCAAAGGATCACCTGGATGTGGACCAGTCCTTTGATCCAAAAGGACAAGCAGATCAACATGGTTGCTACAGGCAGAACTAAAACCAGCCCCGCGGGGTGATGAGGACAAACATTGGTAACAGGGCCATTTAGTGCAGTAGAGCCCAGACTGGTGCAATCTACAGGGCGTAGGATGCTCCCTGCACCAGCTTCCCGCCTTCACTCACGGCATCCGAGGTGTTGGGATAACTTCATTTACTCCAGCAGCTATAAAATCAAATGCAAGTTTCTCTTTATTTGCCCGGAAGAGGCAATTAGGATTCCATTTCTCTTACATTTAATTGTTTTTAATTGGGAGCAATCGATGATGGCAATACATAAAATCCACATTTTTAAGACAATGTTTCTTCTTATTGCAAACAATTTATTCTACAGGAAGGGGTTGAGAAAGAGGGAGAAAGCCAAACCAAATGGATTGTCTTAGCTTTAGGATCTCATCTGCTTATAGTATTTGCTGTTTATGAGAACACATTTTCACAATTATGTTTCTTCATATGAAAACTATATTTAGTGGGCAACAACTATTTTTATGATGGGATGGGGGGAGCATATCCATGTGTAAAACCTACACAGTCAACAGCTTGGCTCAAGATGGTAGGGGTATTTTTAGAATGGCAATAATTGAAAAAGGGCAAACTCTGCCTTAGAGAGGCAGAGGACGGGAAATAAAAAGGTGTTTATAACTATATTTTATATTATAAAGTGGACCTTGCTTGGTAGGAAGAATGATAGATTATTTTGGATCAGTCGGAAGGGAATCGTTAAAGAAAAGGTCATGAAGATAGAGAAACAGGGAGGGAGAAAGTAGGAAAATAAGGAAGTAAGAGAGATTATTTTTGCTGAGCAACCAGTGTTTTTCAGGATGATAAAGAGAAAAACATAGAATAGAAATTTAAGCACAGGCTTGGAATCAGCTACAGATCCTAAAGATGGGGTGTGTGTGTGTGTGCGTGCGCGCACGTGCGTGCGTGCCTCTGTGTGTTTGGGTAAAGTGTGTGTACAAGGATTTTAAAATTCCAGAATGATCATGGGACAAGGGTGTACAGTTATTCCCTCCAAAGCTATTTGCCAGCGTCAGGAGTGAGTGAGAATTTCTTTTTTATGAAAAGGGATATAGAGGCACCGACCTGATACAGTATTTGTAATATTAAATTGACCTAACCTGGTATTTGCATGAGTCACAATTGAAAAGTTTTGAGCGGTTTTGTAATTTGACATTTAGAAAAGTACCATATTTATTCTCATGCTTTGTATTCGTAGCTTAGTATACTATAGAGGATGCCAGGTTTACTCTGTCATTTAAAGCAATATGATAAGGGTATTCAATAACTGGGTGCCCCGAATTTCTGGATGAGAAACATTTTTAAATCTGGCCATGAGAAAAAAACTGACCAGCCTTTTTTTTCCTATTTGTTTTAAAACTATGTTTTGTTTTTTTTTAAAGAGCAATAATTAAGCCAGACCTCACTAAAATTCCTTTTTGTTTTTATAGTGTTAAGTCATAAGCTCTAATATGTTACTCTGACAAGTAGCAATGCCACAACAGTTTGTATGTAGATGTTAGGCACATTATCTTTGCTTCTTTTAATAGACTAGTGTTGACTTTAGGGGGGAAAGTTTATTCACAGACAAGCAGTGGGCATAAAGTAAACATGCAACTGTCTGATAACTCACAAGGATCCTTTAAAACTGCCAAGGGAACCTGCCATTTGAAGCCAAACTCCAGAGGTGGGTAGTGGGCACCATCGTTATATGGTTTATTCTCCTGAATGTTCTGAAGGGATACTCAACAAAATGTGCTGGCCACTGGGGACACAAATAAGATCCCTGCTGCAAGGAATTCATTTTCAAGTGGGGGAGGCTGGCATGGAGACAGACATGCCCAGGAAAATGAGGTCTGTGTTAGGTGGGAAGTCCTGACGGGTAAAATGGGAAGACCCAGGAAGGCCGCCTTGCCTGAGGATTTCCAGGCTTCCCATGGCAGGCACGGACTGAAAGCAGCTGGGACGAGACTTCGTGTGTCCCCGGGGCACAGTGGTAGCTAGCTAGGATGGCTGGTGAGCGGAGCGGTTTTATGAGGGGCACCAAAAATGGAACTGACTCTGCATCGGGTAGTGATATAGACATGAGAGAGACCAACACTGTCTTTCCTAAGAGGAAACAGCCCTCAGGACCCACCGGCAGGTTTTTGTTCTGTTTTGAAGGAAGCCATGGACCCACCCACCTTACACCTACATTTGAAAACGGAGAATTTGCAGCTGATTGGGAAGCTTAGGAGGTCACACAATTCATGGACTCGCTTTAGAGGCAGACCAATTGGCCGTTGACTACAGTCGATTGAACCAGAAGCATGAACTGCATTGCGCAGAGTTCTAGAGCCCAATCCCTTGGTCCGTGCTCCGTGTGTGGATAAGGCAACAAATGCAGAGTTTCCATGACCCCGCCCTAGCCTCAAAGCTGCTTAACTATGGCCCCTACATGGCCAACATTTGCTTGTTCCCCCTGCTGCCTTCTGATGACTGCTCTGCTCATTAAAATGTAAATTAACAGTTCCCTTGCAAGAGCCAGATTTTCTCTGCGCTCTTGAGTTTTTTATTCCTTACGAAAACATTGGGCTTTGTACATAGCACCGTGCTAGGCTCTGGGATCCCAAATGAACCCCTTTAACCTTCTGAAAATGCAATAGACCCCAGGAGGAGAGTCCTTCCTGCCTAATCCATCGAGAGGAAGAGGCTTGTCGGAAAAATGGGCCTCTGATGCTCGTCCCTGCCCCCAAATAGCACGCAAACTTGTTAATCTCAACTATAACAAATGTTTAGATGCTGTAGATGTTAAAAGCTTTCCTGAAAGTGTTCCTTTCCACAGTGTTTATAGATGCTCCCATTCCTCCGGAGCTGATTACTGACATGCCTTGGCTTTCTCATCCAGAAATTATGGAAACAGGGTCTGTCAGTGGTAGGAGGCTGGGCTGTGTTCTACTCGGATGACACAATGCGATTTCCTTGCCTCTTTACACTTCTGCATGCTGCCCACCCTAGACGATGACATAGAAGCAGTATATAGATCAGTGTCCACATATATACACAACACACACACACACACACAAAGCGTCACAAGAAACACTAGAACAGTGTTGACTCTTGTCTCTGAAGACAGTTAAACATTTTTCCAACTAAATAATGGATGTAATTAAACTATGTATTGAAAAAAAATAGCCTAAGTGTTTAGAGATGGTGAATATATCCAGTTTTAGTGACAGAACCAATTTCCTGAATTTTAAGCATTCAGTGAGTGAGCTGCCAATTTTGATTTTGTGTTGCCCTTTACCCAAAGGACTTTTTTTTTTTTTTTTTGGAGGAGGAGGAGGGGGGAAAGCAGCAATGCTGTGTTTGAAAATTATACTCTGTATCTGGCTCTCCTGTGTATGTTAACCACTTAAATGTTATTATCCTGCTTCAGTTTTATAGTGATTGTGAGGCATTCAATGCAAGTATACAATTATTTTCTCATTAAAACCCAGTGTGTGCTGCGTTTTTATAAACGATGGCTGCTTGTTTGGGGGTGGGGGGAGGTTGGAGGCCGGATCTGCCACGCGCCGACGCGCCGGTGCCCTTGGTCTTGACTTCTGTGTGGCAGTACCTGTGTCTTGCACATTTGGAACCAAAAAAGCAATACTAGCTGGTGGGGCACCACTGTGACAGGCTGTCCCAGTGCCTCTTTTTGTGATGCTGTCTCCAGCTGCCTCAGCTAGAGCCTACAAACCTCTGATGAGACCCCAGAAATGATACGGGTGCCTCTGGATGAGGTAGGTAGACCCCCAAAGTCAAGGGGATGGCTGGGCAAACAGCAGGACAAACGGTAAAACCCAAGCTTCGCATGTGGCTCTTGGGCTCTAATTTTTATTATATTCCCAGCATCTGTATCTGGCTCCCCTCTGAAGAATGGAGACTTTCAGACTTGGAAGAGCATATGAAGATGGCAGGTTCATCAGGAAGCTTCGTCCCCAAGTTTCCTCCTGCCCTCCTATCCCCCCCCTCACAGCCAGCTGTTCCCCAAGTGGCCCCTCGCAAGTACTTGTGCCCCAGACCTTCGGTCTCCTGCTCCTCCTCCCCACCCCCGCCCCACCCCACCCCTCTCCTTGGGGTCTCTTCCTCCATCTTTCCCGCTGTATGTGACTTCTTCCAGTCTTCTGGGGACAACGGAGTTGTGATCAGCTCAGGATCCAGTGTCCTGGTCTTTGCATCCATCACTACTAATATCTGGGCGTGCTGGGCAAAGCCAGGAGTGTCAAGGTACACAAGAGAGGCACTCAGAATGGGACGCAGAGTTTGGGATAGTCCAGGTAGAAGGTATCTTCAGGGATTCTCACTGAGGAGGCTTTTACCAAAACCGAAGTGAGGCATTAAAATCACTAATGGGTGGACGGCAGGTATGCAGGCTTTTTGCTCTGTGACCGAGACCTCCCGTCCCTACGTCAGGTTCATCTCCCCTGTACTTATCGGTGTCAAAGAGACAATCATTGGGGGACACATGAGGCCATGAAGTTACTTCGAAGCATTGCTCGTTTTCATTATGGGATGCCTGTGCCACAAAAGAGTGTGGTGATTATGTCCCTCCCTACTCAGAACCCACACAAAGTTCAAAACTGGGCTGCGGGAAACACAGAGAACAAATGGGGAATTCAAAGGGAGACTGTAAAAGGTTTTAAAGGTACAAGAAGACACAAAGGCAAAGAACAGGGCCTCCGAAAATCCCTGGAGATGGCACACTAGCAATTCCAAAATGTTGCCCAAGCATTCAGATGTTTTCTTTCAGAGAAAGAAGAATGTTTGCATAATAAAGACTTAAAAAAAAAAATTCTGCCATGATATAGTGTTCTCGGTGTCCATTAACCCTGATGGGAGAATTATCTGGCTGCTTTGTTCTCAGTTCACAGGTGGTAGGCTCTGAATACCTGGGATGGATGTGCAGGTACCCCAGAAGAATAAAATCGCAAATCTTTCTCTCCCTTGTTTGGTTGTTCTCCGCCCACCCATTTAGACCACATTCTGTCTCTGCAGTGGTCTTCCGCTCCTGGATCGAGGGCCTCTGGGGAGCGAGGCTTCTCCTGCTTGAGCAAGCATCTCTGTCACCCGGAGGGCTCATTAAACACAGATTGGGGCCTCATACCCAGGGCTTCTGATTCAGTAGGTCTAGGGTATGCAGCCTAAGAATTTTCTAACTCGTCCCCTGGAGATGCTGCTGTTGGTCCAGGAACCTCAGTTTGAGAATCACCGACCTGGAGTAAGTAATGAATAGGGGTCTGGGCATACCGCTTAACGTTTGAAAACTGTGGAATGGATGCATGATTTCTAAGCTGCAGTCACATGTGGTCCTGGGTTGTTTTGAGTATTTGGGGTGGGGGGTGTGCCTTTGCCCAGCACACCAACTCAACGCTTTGTGGGTCTTGGTG